AAAAAAAAAAAAAAAGCACAGGACTAGGAAACTGAAGCTAGCTGCAGCTGCTTCAGCATGAGTACAATCCCCAGCCAGGAGGGTGACCCACATGGTATAGCAGACCTCTCCTGTCTCACCCCCACACCTCTGGCCTGTACCCCAGTTCTGTATTCACAAATAAATAATTTTTTTCATAAATAAATCTTTTTTAAAAATAATGGAAGCCCTCTGACCCTGTTTCTACCTCTGCCCTTTGACTGTTCCAATCATGCACCTCCTCTGTATTTCTGTAGGACTGTTTTCCCAGACTACTACCTCTCAAAATAGTATAAGTATTAGAATCACCCACAGGGAGGGATGTTGTGACCCTACAGAATACTGAATACCCCATCCTTAAAGTTTCTGATCCAGAAGGTTTGTGGAAAGAGTCCAGAATCTGTATTTCTCACAAGTTCAGGGAGCTGTCAGTGCTGGGGTTCTTTATATCACACTTTGAGAAACACTGTCCTAGAAAATAAGGGAAAGTTGAAATTAATTTCAAATGTTTGGACATAATTTTAAAAACTAAATAAAAGGTACTATTGAAACTAAAGGCGAAGCTCAGAAATTAAACTTTGCAATCTTAGGGCTATTCACATAACATTTGTGCTTCAATTTACTCTTGATGTAATAAGGCTAATGTATGGAGGGATAAATAAAACTCTTGGGTGACATTTCAATAGGAATTATGTAAGCATGTAAGTAGCACAGACAATCTTACATTACTGACAAATATGCACATTTCAGCACTTTCCCTTAATTTATTTTGCACTTCTATTTTTAGCACAAGTAACAGTGAAGATAAGGGCCCTCAAAATCCTACCATGGAAGAGAAATCAAATCACCCTTTATACAGGTTCTCAGAAAGTATATGGTTGTGTTATGAAGGTGAAGGTCCAGCTTTGCACTCACCAAATACCTGTTCCTGGTCCACCAAGTTAAATATCACAATTTGTCCAGGACAGATTCCACATTCAATTACTTTCCTGCCAGCAAGAAGACACTAAGATGCCTTTCCAGATTACAAGGATGACATTTGTCAAAGCCATATAGTATCTAACCATAGAGATCAGTAATTCTGACCATTTCTTTAGGCAAGGTTTTGCCCCGTAGTTTCTTCCAAAGTAAGAATCTTATTAGCTGTATTGTTATATTGCTTACATAGACCCTATTTCTGTTTTTATACTACTAAGGTAAGAACATTTCTTAAAGAAATATTACCTCAGTGGACAAAAGGTACAGGGCTAAATAAAGTCTCTTGATCACAAAAAAACATTTCATTTTATAATTCCTAAAAGAGAAAGATCATTTAAAAGTAATTATTAGATTTATTTTAATAAGGTATAAAATGAGATAATCAAAAAATGCAGAAAATAAACTAAAAACTACTAAGCTCTATAAGAGAAGGGTCACATGGCTATGTTCTTCTTTCAAGGGCAGGAACTTCATTTGGAAATTAGTTGTCCCTAGTGAATACACTGGTCATAGTAGCAAGAATGAATTACCAGAATCCCCAGTTTTGCAACAACCCCGTGTTTTCTTTTACTCAAGAGGAATTTTTTTTTAATTTAAATCCTTTTTATTTATTTATTT